AGCATTGGCCTTATCGAGCATGATTGATTTTTTTTAGTTGCTCAAGCTCGAGCTCGATTTATGAGGCTCGAGCTCGACTCGGTAAAAAAATACAAGAGCTCGAGCTCGGCTCGAGTTCGATTCGAAAATTTTCAAGCAATTTTATATAATTACCATTAAGTAGTATATATGTTAATATTATGATGCATATGTATACAAGGGGTATTTTAGTAATTTAACATAATCTCGAGCAGCTCACGAGCCACTCGACGAGGTCGGTTCGTGTGCAGCCCTGATCGTACAGTCTACACTAGAGATGTTAAACGGTCCCTGACCCGACGGGCCGACCCGTTTAGCCCGAGAAAAAACAGGGTTAGGACCTTTTTTTAGTAGCCCGTTTAAATCAGGGCTTTTTAGGCCCGGACCGTTTAAACCGAAGCCCGATAGGGCTAGCCCGAAGCCAGCTAGGGCTAGCCCGTTTAGTTTGTATATTACAACTTCACTATTTTATTTATATGTAACTATGAGTTGTAGCGGGTTATTATGATTTTGAAAGATAATTATTAACTATTTCGTTATTCTACTTCACACCAAATTATTTAAGCGAATTAGAACGGCAGAAAATACATGAGACAAAGACCTAACACATACAACATAGTGATAGAGTATAAATTCAACAGTAAGATAAAATATTGTAAAAATTTCCAAAGCGAACAAAAATAAGTAGTAAAATGGTAATTATAAGTAATAGTTCGAATATTTTTTTTTCTTTTGAGAAAAAACATGTCACTTAAGAGTTTGTAATGAGTGTTCGTACATGAAACATAGTTGTATATATATATAGAGCGGTAAATACTAAATAGCCGTTGAATACAATCGTGAACTAGCCGTTGTAATTTTTATTTATATGTTTTTTTATATATTATTATTATTATAGCCCGTGTAGCCCGTTTAGCCTGAAGCCCGCTAGGGTTAGTATTAGGTCCTTTTATTGGTAGCCCGTTTAAATCCGGACTTTTTAGGCCCGGACCGTTTAGCTCGAAGCCCGTTAGGGCTAACCCGAAACCGTCAGGGCTAGCCCGTTTACACACTAATTTAATTAAATAAACTTACTTAAATCATAAAAAAAAAAAAATAAATAAAATTGTTCACAATCACGCGTGTTTTACTAGTTCCATTAAACGAGTATAATCTTCTTTTACTTTAGTGGCATTAACCATCACCACCATTTATTAGCTACTAATTATAAATTTCACCTAACTTTAAAAGAGAAAATTGAAGAGAATTATTAATCTCCTTGTAGGTTGAGAAAAAGGTACCGCTAAAAAGTCAACAAAGTCAATATGATAACATGAATTAGGTACCCATCTTACGATCCGTAATAAAGAGATATGCTCACATCCATCCATAATTGCGCCACAATTTCGTCAAAACGGTACCTTCTTTCACATGTTATGAAATCAATTTTGTCACAAAAAACGATTATAATTATTTTTACGCTTTCACATGTTTTGACGAAGAATTGTAAGATTAGAGAATCGGGGCAAGAGAGTGCGGTCCCACACATATTAAGCGCAGTTGACTTATATGCTAGGCTCATTTTCGCAATAGAATCAATGTAGGACAACTCACAAGTGATACTTCAACAAGAATAATCACAAAAAAACAAAAGAAAAAAACTATGAAATGTGAGTTAGTTAAAGAATAATATTAGTAAAAAATTAAACTTAATTATAGATTTAATTATGGTTAAAAATCTTGCCTTTTTATTCCCAAATTGATGACATAACGCCTAAAAAGTAGTTAAAGAATACTGCAATAGGATAATATGAATGAAGCTCTCAGTTTTCAACACTCACATGCAAAGGATGTTAAACCACATAGCCAACCACATAGCTAACCACATAGCAAATATTTTTAATTTTTTTTTTTTTTTTTT